ACTGATTGAATAAATGAAAAGCTACGTTAAAGACAAACAAAAAATGAACAATTTGATGCGATAAAATGCAAACCTTTGTGCTTGTGCGCTTGTAACACGCAGTGGCTGTTTAGAAGTGTCAACGAATGAATTCGGTGGTTTGTGATATACCGATGCCAGCGAACCAATATGGCAAACCAATTGATCCAACAAGGATGGCTCGAGTAAATCTGTTTCTTCGGATATCAACGGCTTTTCGGCCAGTACCACCTGAAACGGATAAATTTTACGATCAATTTCATTATTCGATCACAACTATCAATGTTTTCAAAACCACTACTGTTCGATTACTACACTCAAAATCGTTCCATTGTGATTTTTTTGTCGAACCCGTGACGAGAAATGAACACAAACAAAAAGTACAAACCTCTTTGGCTGCGGCAGGATCAGCGCTCAGTAAACGCCAATAGATATATCCACGATCCCTCAAGTCCGGATTATCACTGTCCTGTGTTGCTAGCGATAAAACTCTTTGTACGAGTTGCTGCGTGTCTGTTGGACGTTTCAAAAACAACTTCACCACTGCGGTTAACAGTTGCAGTTGAACTTGCGTATTTTCATCATGGAAACCTTCGACGAATGACTCGAGCAGTTCATCTGCATTATCAATCCGTTCCGCATACTCGCCAATTATCCAGATCATCGAGGCACGTGCCTCTGGCTCATCCAACGTATCCAAATTCTCGCATAGAGTCGAGATGATACTTTCGTATTTGTTCGGATACTTACGGAATATGTCCTTGATGACAACGACTGCCTCTTGCACCACATAATTCACCTTCGTCTGTATCAAATCCAACAGTGTGCTCACACATCGTTCAGCGCTTTGCTCCACCTTGATCGCACAACGACCAATTGCACGCACAGCTTTGCGTACGAAATCAACGTCCACCTCTGTGGCATATTCTTTCAGTTCACTCAACACCTGCGATATATTGCTCTGTTGTGCAAGACGAATCATTATATCCAATTTTTCCATTTTCACATATATCGGATCGTTGTATTTCACAAAGAACACTTTCATTTCCTGCTTCAGAATATCCGGTCGCTTTTGTACGATCAAATTGATATTTCTTAGAGCAACGTATTGTATTTCAGGTTCGGCCGACAGTAGAGTGACCATTGGTGGTGCCAATTTCTTGGTTAGTTGACCGATGAATTCGGATGTTTCGGGTAACATCTCGACGAGTTTCATCAACACTTTGACTGTTGAGAGCACAACGGCCGCATTTGCGTGTGCAAGACGAGGACTGATACGTTCGCAAATGTTTTGCGCTTCACGTTCATCTTTGGGTTGATAGGACGCGAGTGCATCCAGAATGAAGACTTGACCCCATTCGGTGCACTCGTTCAGTGCCGTCAACAGTTTGTTGATTGTCTGTGAATTGATCTCAATCAACGGTCTTGTTTCGTTGATCTCGGTCAACGCCGCAACCGCGTTTGCCACCACCATCGGATTCGAATCACTCAACAAATCATTCAGCAACTCCACAAATCCTTGATCTTCAACCAACGACGCATTGATGTCGTGTAGTTTAGCGACACAAACTGCCGCAGTCTTTCGCACATATGGATCTTCATCTTTCATACATTTACGCAGTGGTTCACACAGATATTCGGTGATCTAAAAAACATCATTTCATTTGTCAATTTGAAGTGAATTTCCTTTTCATTAATGAGTAGTGAAATTTGTTGAGTATGAAATAATTGGCTTAGGATGGAAAAGAGATTTCATGCATCGAAAATCTTGAATATCTTTGATAGCACACTCTCAAACAACGCAATCCAATTAACCTTATCAACACGAATACAACCCATCGTTCTCACCGCTAGTGCGCGAATCAGCGGATTCGGATCTTCACAGTCCTAGAATTGAACGCATATTTCAATCAGTAATCAGCATTACATTTAAATCGTATTTCATCTTAGAATCAAAACCAATGAACAACTGAGAAGAGCTGAGATAATATACTATGATACTACAACCCATCAGATGACTTTTACAAAAACAAAATTATGATTCTAAATAATGAGGTAATGATGGTCATCAATACGAAAATTAAGAACAAAAAAAGAGAAATGTGAATGAAACGAACTTTAACGAATGTATTAACAGCCATAATTGCAAGATCCGGCTGACTTTTTGCATAATTCATCAAATAAAGATAGACCAACTTCTTCAATTCAACATTATCCGTTTGCATACAATTCACGACGTCCGGAAATAGCGCACTAAACAACAACACAACTCCAATGAATATTATCGTACCAGGTAACTTCACAACAAAGTATTAACTCAAACAGATTCCTCGCAACGCATGAAAATGCTTCAGAGAATTGCTGAGGGCACGATTGCATCACTGAAATGAAAGAACATACTAACCTAACATCCTTACCAACAGTCATACTCGCAATCACCTTTTTCACAGCTTCACGCTTCTTCTCCTTCTTATCCGAATTCAGTTCATTTTTCAGCTCGAATATTTCACCTGAATGAATTGATTTTCAATAAAATTAAACTAATCTGAACAGAGAATTTTCCGGTTATGATAACAGGAGATCCAAATTGAATTATTATCATGTACGATTCGAATGCATTAACCGATAGCCAAACCAGATGATTTCGTTCATATTATTTGTAGAGCGAGCAAAGTTGCTGCACAGAAACTTGGAACAAAACATGAGTTTGAAAATTAAAATCAGTGGAAAACCAATAAAGCATTACCTTTTTTCGTTGTGGTGAAATACTTTGAATCGGTCATTGTGAATATGTATCTGTAATGGTTTTCTCCTAAACGAAAACATTAATTAACCATTTTCATGC